TCCAGACCAGCTGTGTTCCCCTTGGCAGACCACCGTTAAGAGCGGAAGGTTACAAAGAAACTTCATTCTTTCAGGAAACAATGTAACCTGAAATTATAAATTCTCATTTAAAGTCCCCTTGAAGAAATTCTTATCTAAGGAGCTTCAACTGAATTTTCCTGAGATGCTTCCATTTTACTGAAAGCTGAGTCATTCTTACTTACACTCTAGGTAAGCAAAATAAAGAGAGAGAGAGAGAAAAAGAGAAACACAGAGAAATAGAGTCCACAACTACGAGTCTCGGATTTGGCTTCTAATCCTCATTCTGCTAATATTTCTTTCTTTAATATTGAGCAGCTCACTCCCTTTCTCTGGCTTTTGTTTCATTACATGTAAATAGAGTGTGAGCCTTACATGCTCCAAGATCTCTTTCAATGAAAGGTCATGCTTAAGTGCACTGGCTCTAGAGTCTGAGAGACCCGGGTTGGAGTCCTGGCTCTGCCGTTTACAAGCTGCGTGACACTAGAGAAGTTATTTACCACAGAGCTCAGTCTTCCTTTCTTTAAAATGGGATTAATGGATGACTTCATGTGTATTAGAGTTAATAAAGTGCTTAATATATAGAAATCTTCCAAGTGTATGTCAGATATTATTAGTAATGTTAGTGGGGATGGTGACAAATCCATGATTTTTTTCAAATGATCTCAAAATTGTTTTGAATTAAGTTATTGTATTAGGACCTTGTCTGCCCTTTGTCTTGAGTTTTCTTTATTTGAATGGCTTCTAGATTTTGGAATTTTCAACTTCAATTTGATTAAATACATGCCTCTTTGACAAAGACTAGATCTAGAGTTTGCCCTCCTTTCTTCAGTAATAGCCTAGTTTTAAGGTAAACATTAAAGAAGTGAGCAGCATGATTGGATAAAAGCCACAGAAATCATAAGCAGCAAAGGAAGTGAAAAGAACTTTGTGACCAGCCTCTTGCTCAGGTGTGCAGGAAACACACCGTGTGCCCTGGAGCAGTTTTTTCTCCCCCTTCTCTGGGCCTCAGTTGTTCATTCATAAAGTAAGATAGTTGTAGTTGTAATGGCATATCTGTAAGGATAATTTTAACAGAAAAATTCTGGAATTCCTCTGAGCTGTTGTGATTTATCAGTGTCTGTTCTCTCCTTGCAGAGGCTGTGAGCCAGGGAGGCTCCCGGGTATGTGCTTCTCTCCCAGGGGCCCTTTGCTCTTCCAGGAGGTTGTCTTGACAACAGCGGTGATCTCGAGATGTGAGGTTCGCAGGCTGTTCCGTTAAGCTCTCCTGAGTTCCTGTGGCTGGTCTGGTGAGAAGGGGAATGATGACGCGCACCCTCATTCATTCAGTGTCATCGCTGGCCCAGATGCATTTTTCTTAATGGTGGAAAAGAGCTTGAAAATCATCTCCCACCTTCTTTGAATTACTCAGATGTCTCATTTCCATATAAGGAGTTTACATGCAGTCAGAGCATCTAAAGAGTATGGTGCTTATAAAAGTATGGCATGAATATAATTTATTTTCCAAATCAGGGTAATTTTGAGAGCAAAAGTAATATTTATAATAGTTGAAATAAGAAGAAAATCATACACTGAGAGTATCCCAGGCAACTCAGAACATATGGTCACTCCACCCCTGAGTATCTTGTTTATAAAAGTCACTACAAATACTTTGTAAAATGCACGTTCCTTCTCCCTACAAGTATATATTGAACCTATTAATTGAACCTGGATATCTAGGGAAGTTGAAGCCTAGGAATCTTTATTTTAAGAAGTCCTCTGACATTTTGGCACACATTAAAATTGAATTAAAATTGAAGAATCACAGCTTTAAATTGTACTGAACAGGCTTGGATATAAAGAGAGAGTATTTGCCATTCTCATAGTTACTGATTCTCCTAGTAGCTTGGGTTGGCAGTTAGTAATTTCAGGATCTACATTCCTGGTAGGTTCTACACTCATAAAAAATAGCAATATACATTAAAAATACAAAAACTATGTAGTGAAGCAGTATAACTTATTTTTTGAAATATGGGCTTTGCGAAAGACAACATATCAGGTTCATATTCAAGCACTATTAGTCAGTAAATGTTTGATTCTGGGTAAATTACTTTACTTTTCTGTGCCTCACTTTCTTTATCAATTCAGCTAATAATAGTACTTGATTCAATATTATATGATTTATTTATAGCCCATAGAGAATTTTGAACATAATTGCTTAATAAAATTGGCTATTATTAAACTATCATTTTTGATTTAATTTTTAAAACTGTTACATTTATAATTTTATTTTTCTAATTTATTACTAAATATATATATGTGTTATATATATATATATATATATATATATATATATATAAATTATCTAATTGAGCCCTACAAGTCATCACAAGTGTCCTTATAAAAGAGAAGGAGATTTGATGCAGACACACAGAGAAAAGACAATATGAAGACGGAGCTGAGAGAGAAAAAAATCAGGCTATATAGATAAAAAAAAATAGAGACAGAAGGACATAATCAAGATATTCTCTGCAACTAGCTGTTTTCATTTAACAGTCAATGATATATCTTCATATAAATATATACAAATATACACAATTCCTTTTAAGGTATTCTTGTTACATACTTTTGCCAGCAGTGCTGTAATGAGCATAGTTGTGCAGTTTATCATAAGCTCATTCAATTAGTTCTAGACTTTTTGAAGTTGAATTTTAAGTCAAATAATATGTGCAGCTTATATTTTACAGGTAATTCCAAATGTCCCAAACACCTGTAATATTTTATTATGGAAAGACAGATTACAAGCATACTTGTTTTTCCAACCTATCAAATGAGTGCCATTTTAAATACTCCTGTTTCACACACACATCTAAATATATATGCATATAAAATATATGTACTTGAATGATTCTGTTCAGTTACAAAATTTCTCCATTTGGGAATCAAATTAAAATAGTTTAGTGAAGTTGTAAATTAATGAAGTCATAATTTCTATTTTTTTCTTTAAGAATTTTCATCCACAAACATGGTTTATCTCCTATTTAAGTCCTGAATCTATGAAATTACCTCTCTCTAGTATAATTTGTAGTTCAGTCCATTTCTGCAAATGAGAAATTTTGGAAATCTTTTTGTGGAATCTCTTGCTATATATGACATATACCAAGTGGAACAGCTTATATGAAGTGGTGGTGGGTGAACTTGGGACACCCAGACTTGTACATTTAGAGGTTCTGAGTATTAACTCTAGGTGGAAAATGCTGAACTAGGTGCTTACTTATGTCTTCTGCTCCCCAATATTCCACAATTTATGGTGCTTGGAGATCCTGTTAGATACTGGAACAAAGTATCAAATACATGGAGACCAGTATAGGCAGGGAAGTTGACCATAGGATTCTGTAGAAGCAGGCAATTTCCAAAAACTAGGAAACGAAAGAAGCTATAAACCTGACAGCCAGAGGCAGGCTTGGTTATCACGTTTTCTAGTTGTTTACAGTTGGAAAAAAAAGGTCAGCTTATGAACTTTACCCCTGCAGAGTTAGAGATAGGCATGCTTAGAATGCCTCTTGTTGGAGGGCATGTGCCATTATTCACTTCAGTAAAACTGAAAATATTACTTTCATCTGAGAAATCACATTCACTGATACTCTCTTTGGGATATTTTGTCTCACTTTCCAACTGTGACAAGCCTGTATTTGTCTTAAAGCAAATCGCCTTGTCAGATGACAGGCAGTATCTTAAGTGCCACAAAGAAAATTCCTCGTGGCGGCACAAAGGAACTTTGGGGGATCATGGAATGGCTCACATCCTGATGTGGGTGATGCTTATGTGACCATATGTATTTATCAAAACTCATAGAATCATATACTACAAACAATGAATTTCAGTGCATGTGATTTCATTTAAAAACTGAATTAGAGATTTCAGTTAAACTGTTGTAGCATTTGCTGCCAGTAACCAACTGTTTGATCTTACCTGAAAACCTGCATCTTTAAATTTGTAGCTATATAATATAGACTATCTAATTTAAAATAGTGTTACTTTTTAAAATTGATATATCTAGAAATGCATAGGTAAGAAATGAGACTTGTCCTCATTCCTGAAAATATAAATTTAAGTGACACACTTAAAGAAATATTTCACTCACTTGTAAACCTGAAACCTACCCCTACGCTCACCCAGTACCCAGCTGGGGGCAGAGAACACAATCTTCCTCTCATGCGGTGCTTATGTAGGTACACAACTGCCAAAATCAAATATTAATTATCAAAAACAGTATAGTTTAAACCAATACATCATATGCTAAAGGATCTGATTCATATGTGGATTGTGAAATCGAGGTGGATTATAGCCTGCATTTTAATGGAATAAAGTGGAAGAAAGCAGAATAAGATAGAAAAATATCACAGTATTACTATGATTATATAGGGAGAGAATGGATGATTTTCCCTGCAAATCAAAAGGAAGGCATATCACATTCACATATGAAAAGACTGTATTGTAAAGATGATACTTTTATCAAATTTATGTGATTTCAATTAAATTCTGGTAGGGGTATTTCTTGGTGGGCTAGACACAATGTCTCTAAAATATGTCTGGAAAAACATCCTCAAAAATATCCAAGAACATAGTAAAAATAAATGACGAAGGGATTCCTTCCTTTCTTCCTTCCTCTCATACATATTACTAAATACCTATCAAGTGGTTGAAAAAACCTTGCAATAAACTGCTGTTGCAAGGTCAATATTGGGCACAGACAGGGTCTTTCCCTCGTAGAGCATATAATCTAATTTCTTAGGAGATAGCATTGAGGAGAGATTAAGAGTACTGGCTTTCAAAAGGGGGAGAAGTGGGGGAAAGTAAAAAACGCTGCCAAGAAAGACATAGGGTATCTCACAAGACATTCAGGGTATTGGTCTAAGAAGATTGATGGCTATTTCATTCCCTAAGATGAGAGAAAATGTAGAGACATAGTAAGTGAACATGAGCTTTGGAGTTAAACTTACCTGTGTTTGAATCCCATCTCTGCCGTCAGTATCTTTCTTACTAGCTAGTTAGCTTCAGCAAATGAATGTGCTCCTCTGAGACTCAAGTTTCTTTCTCTCCAACATAAGTTTCAGAGTGGGATGAGGAATGTAAACCGCATGGCCAGGTACTGGCCGAAAGAAAAGGATGGAGGAGTGTGTAGATTCCTAGGTAAGTGGGTGTGGAGAGAAAGACTAAAAAAGTAGAGAAGTAGGTGATCTTCCAGAATTATAAGACAAAGGAAAAAAGTGGAGCTAGTTCATCCTGAAGCTTCCCTACTCAATAAAGAAGAGGTGGAAGTTTCCACTCCAAGGAATGTAGAGGAGGTGTGGTCAGATAGTTGAAAATTGGCTTTAAAAAAGGAGATGATACGGGGATGAGTGGCCTCGGCAGCAACACGACATGAAATGAGAGCCTCTCGCAGGAGTCCGGGGGGCTTGGGTGAGTCGTGATGACAGCAGGATCACAGAGTCCACTGTGTGGAATTCGTCCCTTTTTCTGCCCCACAACCAAGGTCTGCAACCAGAAAACAGGAAGTGAGTTTGTCCCAGCTTGAAAGAAAGCGGGAAGAATACAGGGCAGGATGTCAAGAGAGTAGGGTCATGTCAAGGAGCTAAATATAAATGTCTGACTTCAGGACCCAGGCTGGGAATGCACGACAAGGCAGTGAAAGTACTGACCACTCCAGGAGGGCTGCACACAGAAATTTTCAGATTAACAGCACATTTTCAGGGTTGCCTACATTAAGGTGTAGTAGAAGGAAACGAGAGAAACTGGGAGGCTTACCTATGCAGAGATCATTGGTTGCAGTGGTGGAGGTTCCCAGGCTCCTGTCAAAGACAGAAGAGGCCAGTCCTCTGAGGAGCTTCAGGACCAGAGGAGACCTGGAAGATTATCAGCCCTGAATTAAGCAAGCAAGTTCATTAGATCATCCGGAATATGGTTGGTAATTAATCTGTTTTGCAAATGTTATCAGATATTGAAGATGCCAGTCCTCATTCTCCTGATCTACAATGAGAAACCACAAGCACAGAACCTCCAGGCCTGTCCCTGCCCGCTGGAGCATGAAACATCAGAGGGGGTGGTTGGAGAGAGATCAAACCAGGAAACAGACCTCGGAGCAAGTTCATGCCAAGCGAGCTGAGCACGGAGCCTGCTCTCCTTCTCAAAGTGGCCTGGTACAGAAGTCACAGAAGAGCCATTTGGCTCAAGGCTCGGTGTGACCTCGGGGTGACTGCAGCTGACGCACGTTTCACAGCGACTTCATCCAGGTGACCTCTCCTCAGCTCTGTCCTTAGCCCAAGCCAGCAATGGGGTCTCGCAGGCCTTCTCCTCTATCAGCAGGTTTCCCCAGAGGCTCTTTTTCCTCCAGCACCTTCCTTTCATTTCCTCTGCACATGAAAGCAGAGAAAACGTCACTGCTAGTACAGTTCCCCCTCATTTCTCTGCATGCCCACCAGCTGCGATTTGGGGAAGAAACAGAATATGTAAAGTAAGGTGTGAGGAGGTTGAGGAAATGACTTAGAAAATATCTTATCTCCGGGCCTAAATATTTCCATCCCTGCGAAAGAGAGTTTGGCTAAAGAAATCAGCAATTTAATGTAAATCCTTTCCTTATATTAATATCTGTTGGTCCTTGCAATATCTTATGAAGTTCATACTTTTTCTGAGGCTTACAATTCTAAGAGATGTTGAACCTAGAATTTGAACTCAGATCTCTCTGACTTTTAAAAATTATAAAAATAATAAAAATCAGATCTAAGTCTATGACTACTGTAAATTATAAAAGTCATAAAAATTATTGCTATGTCTAGATCTAGGTCTAGGTCCTGATTCTTGCATCAGGGGAGGTATACATATTTTTTATGACCCCAAACCAACAATTCCAATTTCAACCCACTCTTTGTACTTGAGCACATGTAACTGGGCCTGGAAGAAGAAACTGAGGAAATAAAGGACTTCAGTGTGGGAGAAACCGGTCCATCCCAGGGCATCAGACAACTTGCATTATAGGGTCGTTGACACGACATGTCCTGATTGTGCAGGACAGTCCTGAGCTCATACCTGTTTTCTCAGAATTCTTACAGATTCTTAGTGTCCATATTCACTAATATGAATATCCCAGTTTAGATGATACATTGAAGGGAGAAGCGATCTGCAGATAGAATGCCTGGGTCAGCCCTGGGGAGAGACCCGAGCCCGACTCCCCCTCCGAGGCAGCGCTGGGGCTGCGGCATGGCTGCTGATGGGGACGAAAGGCTCCTGCCCATCGTTGACTCTCCTCTTCAGAGCAGAAGGGCCACTCGGGTCTGAGTCCCTGGAGACCAGGCCGGGTTCATGGGAATGGCCCCATCTCACCGTAGTGGGCTCACTCCTGTTTGGAGAGCCAGCTGCGAAATATTTCAGCAATAAACTCTCTAGAGCGTTCCCACAGGCCTCACCAAAGCAGGACGTCAGATAAGACCAAATGGCTGCCATTCCCGGCGCGACCATCCTTTTCCTGGTCTCCTCCGCCTTGGCACAGACTGTTTGGTCAGGTAAGCAAACTTACACGTCTTGGGAGAGAAGCCTCTGGTTTTCTTTAACTTGTAGGAAACAAAGAGAGTCTGGGTGGGAGATGTTGCTGAAACGTAGACCTTTGGGCTCGACATGCTAACTGGACATCAATGGGGTATCACTCTTGGAAAAAGGAGTTACTCTGGAAAACCCTACAGTGTTTGAAACGAAATGCCATGCTTTACATATGCATTGTCAAGAAAAAGCAAAAGGGCAATTCAAAATTATTTTGAACATAAAATCAAACAAAGTGAGCAAAAGTTTATGTTTAAAGAAGTATTGTTACCCCTTTGCGTTTCCTTCAGATCCCGCCTCATCTTGTATGTGACAGTCTCACTGGTTTCTACCTTCCCTGCTTTTCTTTTTGCTCAAATACACGCACATTTTGTTAGTCCTCCTATTTTCTTACATTAAAGATAGAATACTATCGGTACTTGGTTGCATTTTGCTTTTCCCAGTTTATAAATATCCTGAAAATCAGCACATACCAGTTTCACAGGAACCTTCCCCTCTTTCATACAACTGCATAAACTTCACTGGGTGATGTTCATTCCAACAGTCTTCTGTGTAGGGGCATTTAGTTTGTTTCCAATATTTTACGATTACAGTGAGGCAATAAAGAAGTTTAGGCATATGCGTTTTTGGATTGTTGGAGGTGTATTTTTCAGAACATATTCCTTGAATTGTGATTCATAAGTCAAATGTAAATGCAGATCTAGTTTTGTTCAGTACTGCCAAATTTCACTCCACGAAGTTTGTTCCAATTTGCTTTCCTGCCAGTAGGATATCAAAGTGTCTCTTTCTTGATAGTTAATCTGATAGGTGGGAAATGGTACTTCAGTATAGTTTTGATTAACATTTTTCTTATAATGAGGTCGAATATCTTTTACAAATTTAAGCCATTTCTGTAACTTTGGAGTGTGTATGTGTGTATATGTGTGTGTGTGTGTGTGTGTGAATTGCATATGCATGTATATTGCCCATTCAGGAACAGGGCTTTGTATTTTTCCCTTAGTTTTAAGTATTCTTTATATATTAGGCATATTAGTCCTTTATCTTGTGACATGGGTTGCAAATATTTTCTTCTAGTTTATCAGATACCTTTTTAGTGTATGTTTACATTTTGCCATGAAGAAGTTACTTTTATTCTTATTCAATAAAATGTATCGGTCTTTTCTATAACTGTACTGAAATTAATGAGTCATTGTCAGAAAGTCTTTCTTACATTAAGATCAAAAATGAATTCAGTTGTGTTATATTTTAACCTTTGTATGGTTTTATTTTTATGTTCAGATTCTGATCCATTTCACATTTATTCTTATGTGTGGTATATGGTATGTATGTGTGAGTTTTTTACTAAATGAAGACCTTTATTTTTCTTTTCTCATAACTATATCCAGCTGCTTTTGTCGTTAAAATAGTCTGGCTTTTTAGAATTGGATTGGAACATCCCATCTTTTTTAGTCTCTAAAATAGAGTGTGTGCACGACAGACACGGTCTGTTCCCGGAATGGGCGATAGGTTCGTTACTTCCTTGTGGGAAGGTTTTTAAAACATGCAAGCTTTCTCTTCTGACTTTGGAAAATCTAATTTTTGGAAGGCTAGCATTCTCTAGGAGACCTTGAATATCATTGAACAGTGAGAGCTCAGGAAGAGTAGGGATGTCTGCTCTTCCCTTCTTTCATTCTCGCAGACAGCTAGTCCCCCCCTTTCCCTGGGCAGTGCCGGCACCCCTCACACAGACCGGCTCACTACGTCCCTCGGCCTCCCCAGAGCCAACGAGCCCCTACCTTTTCTCATCATCACCTGCTGTCCTCTTTGGTTCAGCTTCCAGGAAGGAACTAGCCTAATACTTTGTTTTTGGTATCATATTTAATTTTTAAAAAATCTTTACAATGCATATACTTATCCCAGTTAGTAAAGAAAAAAAACTAAAGCCAATGAAAGTCAAGTAACTGAAAGAAAATAACACAATTTGCAAGTTATATGTACAACCCCAAATGGTTTTTACTCTTTCCTCGGTGGCACAGAAAATTTATGGATGGAGTCAGGACGGAGAAAATGAAGGAAAGAATAAATAAATGGATAAAGTAGTTAACAGAGGGCTGCTACCCACAAATTCTGTTGCCATAAATCATTTCGTATACTGTTGTGTACCTGAGTGATTGAATTACGTTTCTCTATTCACTCAGTAACTTCAGTGGGTAAAAAATCATAGTCCATGAAATATTTCCTTTAATCTCTTGTGTCTGTACTTTATTTGCAGGAATAGTCAAACGACCAGACATCTCTAAATGGCCTAAGGTAAATTTAAAGTTCTCAGACCTGACTTCAGATTCTAATCCGATCGCTGTGTTGACGCGAGAGACCTGTAACTTCCCAATGGTAGAGTCGAATGAAGTTTTCTATGTGACCCTGGGCAGGTATCTAAACCTCTCCAGGTCTAGATTTACTCCCATGTAGCACAAGCACTAAAACACATCTCTGAGCATAAATAACACCTGTCACTTGCTCAACATCACAAAAAGTTAAGCATTAAAATAAATACAGGATTTATTCCGTCTCAATACAGACCCATGTTCTTAACAACTACATTTCAGCACCTGTCTTCTAGAAGTTCACAACTACATAAATACTTCTACTCACAAACTTCTTATAGTGAATCGCTAGCACTGGGGCTCCAAGTTTAAATGAAAACTTTGCAATGGGGTTCAAGTGGGGATGTTATAATGCCATGACTTTAGGATATGAGGGGTAGTTGAGGACATAGCAGTCAGAAGAAAGCTTGCCTGACCCAAGCCCAGAGCAGAGGAAATCCTTGAAAAAGAGTCTGCTAATTATTTGAAGTTATTCCTATGTACTGCGTAAGTGACAGGCCAGGCATGGATGAGGGAAAAATCTATCAATCGGTATTCAAATTATGTTTTATGATATTTGCAGCCCCCATGTAAAATGTATTACCCAGTGGGTCCCCATTATGAACCAGACTGTCCTGATGTCACATCTTATGTTTGCGCTACAAATGGCCACACTTACCAGAATGAGTGTTTCCTTTGTGTTGATCGGTGGTAAGTTCAAGATATACATGTTTTTCTATATTTCTTTACAGAAATTTCAAGAAATCTTAGCAAAGTAACTGAATTTTCTGATGCATGGAATTTTTTTTTCAGGGCCTCTATTAACAAAAGATTTAGGGACAGCTTGTCTATAGAGTGGAGTCTTCCTGAAAAATTCATTTAACATTCAAAGTCGGCTCATTGAAAAAAGAAAGAAATGCTTACATAATATTTTGGCAGAATTATACAAAGATCATATTAGTAGCAGTCTACAGATTATACACAAGCAAGGAACAGGGAAATCCTAAATGCTCAAATTTTCTTTAACAGGATAAGTGACATGCCTTATGACAACCACCTATAAATGTTGCTTGGTAGATACGAAGAGATAAACAGATGATGACATACAGATATGGGTGTGGACACAGACACAGGTGTAGATACACATACGAGCAGCAAAGTGGTTATATGGTCTCACATGGATAAAAATTGACAGTCAACTTTTAATTTTTTTTATCTTTCAAAAAAACTCAGTAGTAAATTCAGATAAAAAAATCAGTAATATTCCTCAAGATATATTTTAGCACCATCAGAAATTGTTTTTATGAATCAGCCTTGTGTCTTGTCAGTAACTCTTCAGTGAGCTGTGAGGGAAGACCGACTTCCCTTAGGCATGATGATTCACTAGTAGAACTCACAGAACCCAGAAAACCTGTTGTACCCTTGGTAACAGTTTATTACACTGAAAGGATACAGATTAAAATCAACAAAGGAAGAAAGTCCACAGGGTGCAGGCTGGGAAAAAGGGGGCACCAGCTTCCAGCAGCCTCCCCAGGGGCCTCCCCCAGGACAGAGCTTGATTCTCCCAGCTGTGATGTGTGACAACATGTATGAAGTGCCGCGCACCTGGGAAGCTCCCACAGCCTTGGTGTCCCCACTCTTTATGGGGGGCCAGTCATCTGAGCATGCAGACAGAAGCCACCTGCTTGACTGGCAGCTACTTGGTCTCCAGCCCCCACCTCCCCAGAGGTCACACTGATACAGAGCACCCAGGACCGCAGTGAACACAGGACCCGGCCTACGGCCCCAGGTCACCAAGTCACCCTTGCTGGGCAGGATGCTCCGAGGGCTCGTAGATCGCTTCCCAGGAGTTGGGGTGAGCATCCTGTCTGTTGCAGCGGCTCTTTAATGAGTGTCTTCCTTTGAGAAGAATTTTCAGGGGCTTTTAGCATGTAGTTTCCATCCCATGAGGATTACTGCTGACCACTGAAGGAAGTGGGGTGCAGAAGCTAGAGCAATAGAGGAAATAGTTCTCAGAACAAGTACTAGACTCAGAGGATGACTGCAGTGTCCTTTAAAGGAAAGAGATGAGAACTGAAAAATGTGAATTAACCAGAATCTGCCATCAGTTTCAAAGAAAGAGGAATGGTAATTCATGAATGTTGCCAGACTATGTAGAATAATTAAGTGACATCATCACTCCTTCCTGAGGTAGGTGCTTTTGCTTTCTCAGGCAGGACACTTGTAAATGTCTTCTTAGGCTCCACATGGGCCTTTTTCCACTCTAATATTCGAACACACACCACTGAAAAGAGCGGTGAAAGGGGGCTGACCCACAGTGAAGGAAAGGGCTGCAGGGTGGTCCTTGGTCCCCCACTGAGCTGCCACTCAGACTTCCCGGTGCGGGTTCTGAGACTTCTTCCAACCTCACCCGGGAGACTTGAGAACGTCTGGGTCGCTCCAAGATCCTGCCTCAGATCTGTTCTGGCAGAAATGGGAAGAAATACAAGAAGCGATTTCCCTCCTTCCTTCCTCCCCTTCCATCTGTCCGTCCACCCATCTTGGAACTCTGCCACTCTGGCCGTTCTTTCTCAATGTAAGAATCAATAAGGAGATCTTGTTGATTAAGAAAGCAAAAAAATGGAGAATGTTGATGCCGAGGTAGGGAAGGTGCAGTGGCCCGTATACCTGCTTCAGTTTCCAATGTGACTCGCACGTACAGACTTGGTCTTCTTGCTGTTTCTATATTTGGGGCAAAAAGAGTCCTGATGCTCTTTTCAGTGATGGAAGGAGGACAGTAATTCCTCCATATCTGCTCTTAGCAGTGTCAGGGAGAAAAATCCTGGTAAATTAGACTCACAATCCTGAGAGACACCTGCTATTTATGAACGACATAAATTCTTTGAAAGAAAGAAAACTGCAGAGTGCAAATCTTAGTCGATACAGAAGTACAGTCACTGTCCTTAAAGGAGACCCCCAAGGCTACTTGCAGGACCCTGAAAATAACTACCGAGAAAACAGAGGGTCGCAAGGAACAGTTCCTAGACTTCTCAGGACTTTTGGTCGTGTGCCAAAAGAATACATGCAGGGGGAAACTCACAGCGGAAAACAGCATTAGTTTTGTTCAACCAAAATAGTATTTCAGCAAGTTTTGAAGTGGTTGACAGTATTTCAAAAATCAAATTTTACCTAAAAATATAGATTTCCAACTTATTTTGAGACCTCAAACATTATGCGGAGAGTAAGCTGGGATTTCACATTCAAGAAACCAACCACAGCTGTCTGGTGGCGGCCGTCCAAATGGAGCCCAGGCATTCCAGCCAGTCCCACCTCTGTCCTTCGTGGCAAAGGGGCCACTTACTTATGTTACCAGTGTGGCTCCCGTGAGCAATTACGTTTGCAGACTCTGAACCAAGTGAGTGGGTCAGATTCACATCAAAGGTGAGCCTGGTGTCAGGGTCAGGATGGGGAATCTCTTGAAGGAAGAGAAGGCTAAAGGACTCTCAAGGAAAGAAATAATGCAAAAGCCAGTTTATACAGGACTTGCTGTTTGGGAAAACATTTGGAAGTAAGAAAATGTGCAGTGTCTGTAGGAAAACAATAAAGGCGAGAAGTATGTTGAAAGGAATGTTGGGTGTTTAGAGAGCAGTAATATGTAGGGGAAGAAAGTCAGGCAGAGGCTGGTCTTCTGGGGAACACAGACAAACGCCAGAGTAAGGGAAAGAGGCTGCAGTCTGTGGGCCGTGTGAACCTTGTGAAAATTTGAGCCAAGTGTGAATTATATAAATCACTAGGCTTATTATCATTTCTATGGTTATCTTTCACTGCTTGGTAGAAAAATCTGGTTTTGCTATGTTGAATGGAAAGGTATCAAAACAGAGATGGGTTAGGGGATGAAACCGCTGTTGAAAAATGTCACAGAAAACTTTTTGAATGATCCAGACATGGAGAGGGAATCCGTAGACTGTGGTGGTGGTAAATAGGGATGGAAAAGAGATGGGTGTGACAGGAACCACAAACTTCCTGTGGGGGTAAGGGAGTGGGGGGCAGTGTCCATTCCCCTTAGGACACTAATTTTTTCCCTCTCTCTCTTCTCTTTAGGGAATTTGGTCCTCGTATTAAATTTTATAAATACGGAAAATGTGATAGTCATTAACAGAATACTACACTTGCTTTCTTCAGTACTTAATTTTGGAAAGAATTTATTTTGGACTTTGAGGGTATTTAATAAATAACACACCTCTATGCTGCACCCAAATTTGGAATGAAATCAGAAACAAAGGAATCAAACCAATGGAGAACTAAATATCACATTTATTACAAATAAACATAATAATGCAGGAGGTGGTAGATACTCATCTCTGTGTACTGATTGTTTAAAGTCAGCTTTCATATTGCTTGAGTCTAAGGACTCTTATCAAGTGGGCTTATTAACACTCCACTAAATTAGACTTGCCCCAAACTGCAGGCTTACCTGCAAGGCCGGACCCTGCCCCGCTAATCTCACTCAAAGACATGAGTGAAAGAGAAAATGTGTCACCCCCACCCCCTCCCTGCCACACATACACGGCTGTTTGAGGCTTTCCACCTCATATTCATGAATGAAACACACCTTCACTAGGAGAATGTGTCCACAAGCTATTGGGAGGACTATGAAGGAGAGTCCATAGTTGTTAGGGGAGAAAAATGTTTCCGAGAGGGTGGGAGAGGGGAGGAGATACGACATACTGACTCCGACTCCATCTCATCGTTACTATTAAATTGTTCTGTAAATTCCTTTTTCTTTCTCCCTTAATTTGGTTTATGATCTGTCACTTATAACTAAAAGATGTTGACTAACAACGGGAAATAAATCCTTTCTTACATTGCATGCTGGGAAAATCAGAAAAGGCTAGGCTTCGGCCTGTGTGCTCTGTGCCGTCACCAGCTTTTGCCACTAGATTTCAGCCTCGCTGTCCCGTCTTACCCTCATGAGCTCCTTCTTCAACCTGCAGGACCAGGAAAAGGGTGCACAGTTCTAGTTTCTCCATCGTTGTCTCTGCTGGTCCACAGCTTCCCCTGGGGGTGGCCGGCGCCCTGGTCAGTGGGGCCCATCTGCTCTGCTCTTTGGAGCTGCGGAGATGGCGTTTCGGGCCTTTCAGGTCCCTCGAAGTAAAGAATATCCTAAAAGACAGACCTTTGCTTGTTGATTTGATTACCTCATATAGTTTAACACAATTTCATTAGTTCTTCTCTCCATCCCTGCCTTACTAAAAATTACGAAAGGAAATTCTCTCCCAAAAATGGGTGTGAGAGGTACAACCCTGTCCTACCACAGAATAAAAAAAGGAAACTTCTACCCTTTATTGTTTCCCTCTTCACTAAAGAGAGCCCACAATTACTCTTCTTTAGTAGAGAAATAAATGGGGCGTCGTCGAGATCTTCCCCGGTTTTGAGGGTCTTCTCTGTTGTATGAAGACTCTGGCCAGGTGGGGAGACAGATATGAACGTGGACATGGTGACTAAGCCCCAGGGAAGTGAGAGCCGAGCCTGGGAACCTCTCTGAGGGTTTGGATGAGAACACGGGTGTCCAGTAAAGGGAGGGGCTGCTGGACTCCTCGGTCCTGCCCGACGGGCAGAGGGGGACCCCTGACAATCCCTAGGCCCTGGTCGAGTAGTTTCTGAAGGGAGGGCTGGAGTTTGAACCCAGATTATCCTCCTAATCACAGCCTTAAAAATCCTTTCTTACATTGCATGCTGGGAAAATCAGAAAAGGCTAGGCTTCGGCCTGTGTGCTCTGTGCCGTCACCAGCTTTTGCCACTAGATTTCAGCCTCGCTGTCCCGTCTTACCCTCATGAGCTCCTTCTTCAACCTGCAGGACCAGGAAAAGGGTGCACAGTTCTAGTTTCTCCATCGTTGTCTCTGCTGGTCCACAGCTTCCCCTGGGGGTGGCCGGCGCCCTGGTCAGTGGGGCCCATCTGCTCTGCTCTTTGGAGCTGCGGAGATGGCGTTTCGGGCCTTTCAGGTCCCTCGAAGTAAAGAATATCCTAAAAGACAGACCTTTGCTTGTTGATTTGATTACCTCATATAGTTTAACACAATTTCATTAGTTCTTCTCTCCATCCCTGCCTTACTAAAAATTACGAAAGGAAATTCTCTCCCAAAAATGGGTGTGAGAGGTACAACCCTGTCCTACCACAGAATAAAAAAAGGAAACTTCTACCCTTTATTGTTTCCCTCTTCACTAAAGAGAGCCCACAATTACTCTTCTTTAGTAGAGAAATAAATGGGGCGTCGTCGAGATCTTCCCCGGTTTTGAGGGTCTTCTCTGTTGTATGAAGACTCTGGCCAGGTGGGGAGACAGATATGAACGTGGACATGGTGACTAAGCCCCAGGGAAGTGAGAGCCGAGCCTGGGAACCTCTCTGAGGGTTTGGATGAGAACACGGGTGTCCAGTAAAGGGAGGGGCTGCTGGACTCCTCGGTCCTGCCCGACGGGCAGAGGGGGACCCCTGACAATCCCTAGGCCCTGGTCGAGTAGTTTCTGAAGGGAGGGCTGGAGTTTGAACCCAGATTATCCTCCTAATCACAGCCTTACACTGCGGCGGGCCCGGAAGAGGAGGGCCTGGACGCATTAGTGGACAAATAATGTATCAAAATAAAATTTTGTTTTCAAAATTATAAATTCAGTCATCAAATGGAAACCTAACTTTGCTGATCACTTTTCAGATACTTGAACTAAATCAACCAATACTCAACATCAACTTTTTAAGTCTGATCTGACATTCCTCTCATTTTCTGACCTCCAGATCTACTGAATTTTCTACAAAACAGAATTTTTTTAGAGCACAGACAAACTCTATTGGCTTATTTAACAAATATGTATTGGGTGCCTACTCTGGCAGACACAGTGGTATGGCACTGCAGACACGGCCCTTGTCCTCGTGGAGTCCCCATTCCGGTGGCCTGTGCAGGAGCCCAGGGCTGGGGGAGAAACACCAACGACACATCAGCAAACCTAACGTGGTGGCTAGAGGGTGGCGTGGTGCCACGGGAGGCAGCCCCGAGGAGCTGACGCTTGGCTGAAACGGGAATGCCAAGGAGGTGGTCAGAGCAGGGAAGGGGCTCCAGGCCCAGCAAAGTCAGGAGGGGGTTCTGCCCACTTCAAGTGGAGAGGCAAGAGGGGCACAGATGTTGAGATCGGAGGTTTGGGGGATCCAGTGGCATCACACGGAAGCCATAAAGCCACGGACAGGGGTCTGGGTCTTTCACGTGAGAAGAAACGCCATCAGAAGGGCTATTTCTTTAACACTTTGAAGACTTGGAACCAGAGCGCACCCCTCTAGATGCACCTTCAGGATGTGACTTGACTGCCCTGCAGACAGGATGACGGGTCTCTCACTTCGTCATCTGTTTCCAGGCCTCCCAGACTGTGGGTCCCCAGGGTGCAAGCCAGGCACAGCCCTGGAGCTGAGGGTGCAGGCCCAGCGCGCTCACCGCAGGCGGCTGCGTCAGAGGCTGCCTCTTTCCAGGGACCCCAGGGGTCCTCAGGCACATCGCAATCTGAGAGGCATTCATTTACACTTTTCAGAGGAGGCTTCGAGAAAGATCGGTATTTCGTTTCTTCCTGGTTTTGTTTTTTCTCTGGGAGACGCAAGTGCTCCTAAGATTGGTGGCTTCGTGGTCATGATTCTGAGCAAAGTTCCCCTCAGCATCGTCCACGGCTGGTGGCTCATGGGTAAGAAGAACAGAAATGCTGGGACCAAGCTGCCTGAGTTCAGAGCTGACACTCCCTCCCGTGGTCCAGGCGACCTCTGGCAGGCTACCACTCACAATTTCACTGGAAGTCGCTGTGTGGTAAGATATATGTGTTTACCTCTCATGGGTCATTAATTCTTTCTTTTGAATGTCTTGCCATTTCCGTTACTCAGCTCCAACTTCTGTGCAAATAATTCCTTGGTCTTCCCTTCTCCGTGACCTTAGCTTCAGTCCCTGGGCCCCAGTCTCTTGCTAGACCCTGTGTCTGAATTTTCTCCCCCATCATTGTACAACCTGAAGGCCCAGTCTCAGCCGAACGTGTCCTATGCGGGCTGCTCCTCTCCCAGCTCTTCCCATTTCGATCCAAGGAGCTTCATTTTCTCAGTCTTGAGGCTCAAATTTTTCTTTCTTTGGCCTCTCTATGATGCCACATAGTCACCAAACTCTCTAGTGAAATTCTTTGACCCCTTTTGTCTAAAGACCAATTCTTAAACATTTTCAGCGCTTTAAAGATCAATGTTTTTATAAAATACAGTAAGACTAATTCTAGAAAATACAAATAAGTCATCAAAAACAAAAACCCAACATTTATTATTAAGATTGTATATAAAATTGAGTTTAATAAATGTAATATGTACAAATATAACAAAAAAAGAAAAAATAAAACTTTGTTGAAAGTGGCATACAGATGATTAATATGGTTCATTGCTATTACATTCATAATTTATGCTTTTCTTCATTTATAACTGAGTAAAATAGCAATTCCTCACGACCACGACACATAGCATGCATGATAATCAAGCATGTCAAAAAAGTGTACTGTTGAAACTCCAATGACCCAAACCAAAATAACACAACAAAGGATCATGCCTGTTAAGCACAGTCCGGGCTCAGGGGATGAAGACCGGACAGATTCCAGCGCTTCGCTCTTCCTGATTCAAGAAGGAGTCCTGCACTGGGCTCGTTCCCTGAGCCAACTGACAATACAGACAGTTGGGCTAGGTTTGCCCAGAGGAGGGGTTTCAGGAGGAAACAGGAATGACAGAGCAAACCTCTCAGTGTACAGGTGGGTGTGAGACTCATGGGGGTCATGGAATAGAGGAGAACGTGCTTATGATCAAAGTGAAACTGGGCCAGTGGAGAACTGGGCAGAATCTGAGGCTGAGAGAGCATCTGAGGGAAAAGAGGCGTGAGCCTGGAACTGCAGGAGACTGGGAAAGACCCTGGGAACAGTGACAAATGAGGTGAGGAAAGAAAACACGAGAATAAACAAAATCAAGAGACACGCTGAAATTAAGTGTGTAGCTGGGAAAAGACTGAGGAAAGAAATGAAGCAGGTGAACAGTAACTCCACCAAGATACAAATTAAGGGATGGAAATAAAGTGCCTTCCGGGCGAGAGTGTCAGAGATAAGTTTGGTAAGAGAAACAAGATTCGGTCACAGTTACAGGCACACCTCTGAGGTGTTGTGAACTTGGTTCCAGACCACCACAACAAAGCAAATATTGCAGTGACACATGTCAAATGATTTTTTGGCTTCCCAGTGGGTATAAAAGTTATGTTTATCTAATACTGTAGTCTGTTAAGTATGTAATAACGTTACGTCTAAGAAGAGTACGTACCTTAATTAAAAAACACTTTATTGCCAAAAAATGCTAACCATCAATTGAGTTTTTAGAGAATCATGATCTTTTTTGTTGGTGGAGAGTCCTACCTCAATGTTAAGGGTCCCTGACTGATCGGGGTGGTGGTTGCTGAGGGCAGGGGTGGCTAGGGCAGTTCCTTAACATAAATCCACAGTGAAGTTTGCTGCCTTGATCGGTTCTTTCTTTCATGAACGATTTCTCTGCGGCACGTGATGCTGTTTGATGGCATTTTACTCACTGTAGAACTTCTTTCAAAGTTGGAGTCAGTCCTCTCAAACTCTGCTTTATCAGTGAAGTCTCTGTAAAACTCTAAGTCCTTTTCGACCATCTTCACAGCACCTTCTCCGGGAGTAGATTCTTTCTCAAGAAACCGCTTCCATTGTTCACCCACAAGAAGCAGCTCCTCATCCATCCAGGTCTTAGGATGAGACGCAGCCATTCAGCCGCCTCTTCAGGCCCCACTGCCCATTGTAGTTCTCCTACTAC